CCTGGCCACTGCAGCCTCGACCTGCTGGGCTCTGGCGATCCTTCCTCCTCAGCCTTCCAAATGCCAGAACTACAGGCGCACGCTACCATGCCCGGCTAATTTTTTTGATTTATTGTAGAGACAAGGTCTTGTCAAGTTGCCCGGGTGGGTCTTGAACCCACAGGCTCAGGCAATCCACTCACCTCGGTCTCCCAAAGTGCTGGGATTACAGGCTGAGCCACCGAGCTTGGCTTCTATTTTAGAGATGGGGGTCTCACTATGGTGCCCAGGCTGGTCTTGAATTCCTGGCCTCAAGCGATCTTCCCGCCTCAGCCTGGAAAAGGGATTTCAGGCATGAGTGAGCCACTATGCCCGGTCAGTCCTATCGCTTTCAAGGAGGACAGAGAGGGGGAGGTTGATCTGAGGGGTCCAGAGGAATCAAGGGACCCTGGTTCTGGGCAAGAATAAATTAAAACGGAATAGCCCCCACCTCGAGCCCCCCACCAGACTCAGAGCGCTGTGCTGAGCCAAAACATGGAGGCCGCACAGAGCTGGCTCCCTCTGGACTCGCCACTGACCAGCTGAGAGGCCTCCCTGCCTCCTCGGGAATAAAAAAGAAGGCACGCATAACTTCTTGGGGTCTGAGGAGTCAGTAGATACTATGCCCGGCAGAGCCATGCTCCTTGCCTGCTCTCAGCACCGCATGGCAGATGTCAGGTCTCCACTCATGGGAGTTGTCCTCGGCCCTCTGATGGCCAAGGGCCTCGGGTCAGCCTGGAGTGCTGAACTTTCGGTCCAAAAATATTTGCATCTGTGGTGGAGTGGCAGTGTGCGAAGCCTGGGCTCTGAAATCATAGAAGATGCCAGCCCAAGCGTGACCCCCCTGTTGGCTGCCCCTTCCTGTCCCCTGACTCCAATCATGGCGTCTCCCTGTTCCTTCTCTGGTCATCTTTCAGGAAATTATTTCAGGGAGATCCGTGTCCCCAACCACAAAGGCAAGGCGGGATCCCACGCACCCAGTGCTCACATCACTCCCAGCACCTGAGACCTACGGGGGTCTTCCTTTGCTGTGGGTGCTGCACCCACTGCCCCGTCCCAAGGAGAGGAGTGACCCAGGACAGGGGCTTGGGGTCCTAGCCCAGCACCAGCCACTGTGGGCCACGAGGATTAGCCCTGTCCTCTTGTGTTCACCTTTGAAATTAGCGTTTGAGACTGAAGATTCCACTGGCTCTGACAGGATATGTCTTTTAGGGGCTCCTGAAAACAAAAACACATCCCCAGATATGAAGCCTACGAGGTGTTGTACGTGCAGAAAAGGGCGCCCAGCTCCTTTGTGTGAGTTTTCTCCACTTGCTTAGGGGCTGGCAAGGTGTGCTGAGGGGCTCACCATGCCAAGGGCTTGGGGATCCCGGCTTCAGCCAGGTGGAGCCATTTCCGCTGCACGTCATGCTGGACACACTGTCCCCTTTAATTCTCATAATAACCCCAAGAAAGAGATGGGGGTCATCTTTGTTTCAGCAGGTGGAGAAACTGAGGCATAGAAAACTGCTATGATTTTGCCTCAGGTCACACAGTTAATCAGGGGTGCTAGGCTCTGCTCTGGTCTGTGTAGCTCAGGACACCAGCTGACCCCTATCCCTTGGGGACACCGACTGACCCCCACCCCTCGGGAACACCGCTGACCCTCATCGCTAGGGGACACTGGCTGACCGCCATCCCTAGGGACAATGGCTGACCCCTATTGCTAGGGGACACCGGCTGACCCCTGCCCTAGGTCTTAGACATATCTGAGCATCGAGGAAGCAGGTCAAAAACTTTCGTCTGTGACCTTCGAACCCTGTAGCACAGCATAGGGAACTGCCTTAAGGAATCCAGTAGCTGGCGGTAAGGCCCCCCATTTTTGGTTCTGTCTCTAAGTTCCCCTGCTGTTCACATGGCCAAGTTCATGTGAGTCTCACTTCCTTTCTTCAGTGGACTTCCTCCCCACCACGGCCCGGCCCACAGAGAAGCCCACCCCCAAGAAGAGAGTGTGCCGGTTCCCCAGGCCAGTGATCCGCAAGGGTGAGTTTTCCACCCCCTGTGCCCTCCGAAGCAAGGCAGACGTCACCCTCCTCTCCTGTCTCCCCCCTTCCTCGCATCCTTCCTTCCTTCGCCCAGCGCTTGTCAGGTTGACCCACAGTCTTCTCCAGCCCCTAACGGGGGTCAGCAAGGACACTGAGTATGGCGGCGATACCCCATGAGGGATCAGGCCCAAAAGTTGTCACTGGACACAGTTTAGCGGAACCTACTCCCTCGTGTGTGAATGGTCCTAGCAGCAGTATTTATGGTAGCCAGAAATGTCCTCTGACTAATGAATGGGTTGGCAAAACGTGGCCTGTCCGTTACAGTGGAGCATTATGTGGCCAAATGAAGAATGAAACGAGAGAAGCCAGCCACAAAAGACCACATCCTGTATGGTTTGATGTATACGGAATGTCCGAAGGCTGGGGTGGGTGAAGGGTCCTGAGTGGGAAAGTGACCCTGATGCCCACGGGCTTTCTTGCAAGGGGATTAAAATGTTCTAGAATTAGCGTGATTGTACTTACACAACTCCACGGGTATACTAGAAGCCATTAAACAGGTGGACTCCTGAGTCAGCAGGTGGAGAAACTGAGGCATAGAAAACTGCTATGATTTTCCCCAAGTCACACAGTTAATCAGGGGTGCTAGGTTCTACTCTGGTCTGTGTAGCTCAATAAGCAGGTCTCAGTAAAGCCGTTCTCCACCAAAAGATCCAACCCCAAGGGCCAGCGCCTTAGATGTTTCAAGTTGTGACGCTTAACAGGGCCTCACACGCAGCAGGTGCTGGCGAAGGAAGATGTGTTTGTCAGCAAATGAGCACATTTGCCTCTCTGCACGTAAGCACCAGACGCCTTGGCTGCCATGAGTGTGCGCACACACAGCCATGAACACACACACAGGCATGCACCTGCAAGCATGCACACACAGACACGTGTGCCTGCACAAGCCCGTCAGCCCAAGTGTGATTCTGGGAAAATTCTGACCTCGGCCCCCTAAAAGCCACTGGTGACAAACAGAAAGTGCCATCTGCCCCCCCCTGCATGGAACAAACCACAAGCAGCCGCATGGGGACTGCCTCACAGGTTGCTTTGTCTTAAGTATAGAGATGATCGGAATGTGTCTGAGGAGGGAGCCTGGGGGGATCTAGAGGTTGGGGTGGGACAGCCACGCGAGGTCACGGTAAAAAGAAAGTCACAACCCATATAGGAAGGGCCAGATCTTGGGAAGAGAGATGGGCACGAGCAACCTCGGTTTGCAAGCAACCTCGGTTTGCAAGCAGCCTCTGTTAATGAAGCTTTATGCCCTGATGACTTTGCCTGAAGGATTCCAGGCAGGCTCGAATGGAGAGAGGAAATGCAAATACAAGGGGGCCGCTAAGATGGGGAGGCAACTCATCTCAGCCTCCCAAAGTGCTGGGATGACAGGCTGAGCCACTGAGCCCGGCCTAGCCTGTATTTCTGATCTCTATGAGACTCCGGTGTCGGAGGGAAGCAACTCGGCACCATGCTGGCATCCTAGCGCTCAGTTCCAGGAGAAGTTGCTCTGCCCACACTCGCAGGAGGACTATGGAATGGGGAAAGGCTCTGGTGCCAGGCTGGAGGGCAGTGGCATGCTCCCGGCCACCGCAGCCTCGACCAGCTGGGCTCCGGTGATCCTTCCGCCTCGGCCTTCCAAGTAGCTGGAACCACAGGCACGCACTATCATGCCCGACTAATTTTTTGATTTCTTGTAAAGATGAGGTCTCGCCAAGTTGCCCAGGCGAGTCTCGAACCCACGGGCTCAGGCAATCCTCTAACCTCAGCCTTCCAAAGTGCTAGGATGACAGGCTGAGCCACCGAGCCCGGCCCACATTGTTTCTTACATCGACCTCCCGAGGACTCCCAGGGCAAAAATGCCAACCAGACATGAGAAGGTTATTCAGAATCAGCAGGACGGACGTGTGTGATTGGCCACACAGAGCGGAGCTAGGGCCGGGGGCAGGGAAAGTAGGTGGAGATTGAACTGGGGGAGGGGCCATGGGGCAGTGTGGCTCAGTAATAAGTCAGCCAGGTCTCGGTCAGACTCCCAACCAGCCACTGTCTATACTGTGAGGCACTGAGCAAGTGATGCAGCTGCTCTGGACTGTTCCCTCATCTGTGAAATGGGTATGAATGGCTCGAGGGAATACAGGATCAAATGAGATACCAGTCCAGCTCAGAGCTTGGTGGAACCTCCACACGGACCTCAAAGCCTGTGACCATGAGCAGAACTCACAGGGCCGCCATGGGGAGGGCCTCCCCCAGGCTTTGGGTCATGCCTTAAGGCGACTTCAATCAGCAGGCACTGGGGGACAGTTTCTGTAGGCTGACTCAGGAGCACTGGGGTGGAAATCCAGGCCTCAGGAGACCCTGAGATCAAGATGAGGAAGGCTGATCTGAGACTATCATTGGTGTGGCTCTGGCCACTGTCCCCTGCTCACAGGCTCTTGGTGGCCATTGTTAGGAACAGCCGCTGTTCCTGGGGTCATGTTTTGGGTGGGTGATCGTGCTTCAGCGGGGACCGGTAGTTGTGTGGTTGGGGTCCACAGAGGTTATAACCATGGCTTTGCCCCAGGAAGCTTCCCCTGACCCCGCCCGTCCTCAGAAGGAGGGGCCCTGATGCTCCGGGCATCCCTGCAACCTGTGCCCACTGCTGCTGCTTTTTAAAAAAACTTTATGGAGCCTAGGCGCCGCAACTCACACCTGTAATCCCTGCACTTTGGGAATCCGAGGTGAGCAGAGTGCTTGAGCCCCAGAGTTCAAGACCAGCTTGGACAATACAGTGAGATCGCATTTCTACAATAAGTCAAAATACTAGCGTGGTGGTGCATGCCTACGGTCCCAGCTATTCAGGAGGCTGAGGCAGAAGGATCACCTGAACCCAGAGGTCAAGGCTGTGGTGAGCCGTGATCGTGCCACTGCACTCCAGCCTGGGCAACACAGCCTGGGTGACAGAGAGAGACCTAGACCCCAAAAAAGTATCATTTGCACACCATAAGATCCACCCATTTTAAGCATACAAGCACCATGATTTTTAGTGAATTTGCTGAGTTATACAGCCATCACCACGATCTAGTTTGAGAACATTTTCGCCACCCCAGGAAGATGCCTTGTGCCTGTTCACAGCTTGTCTGTGTTCCTGGCCCCACCCCTGATCTGTTCTCTGCCTCTCCACATTTGCCTTCTCTGCACATTTCGTGTAAGTGGAATCCCACCGTCTATGTCATTCATGCTTGGCTTCTTTCACTTAGCACTGGAATATTGAGGCATATCCAGTTTGGGAGAATAAGGAAGAGGGGAGAGTCCTGCAGAAATCCCTCAGCATCTCAGAGGTGGGCCCGTCCAACCTCCTACCCAGCGAGGACTCACCTCTCCACACCACAGCCACCAGCCTCAGCTTGTCCCCCAGTGTCGGTGGGCTCCCTCCCATGGGACAACCCTCTTCATTCCGCCCCACCCTCTCATGTCCTCGTGCTGCTGATCTGGGCTTAGAACTCAGAAGACCCATGTCCACACCCTGGTCTTGCCTGTCAGGAGCTGGGTGACCTTGGGTGTGTAATTTGACCTCTTGAGTCTTTTTTTGTTTTTTTTTTGTTTTTTTTTGAGTTGGAGTCTCACTCTGTCGCCCAGAGTGGAATGCAGTGGCCGCTCCCGGCCACCGCAGCCTCGACCTGGTGGGCTCCAGCGATCCTTCCGCCTCAGCCTTCCGAGTAGCTGGAACTGCAGGCGTGCACTACCACGCCCAGCTCATTTTGATTTATTGTAGAGATGAGGTCTCGCCAAGCTGCCCAGGCGGGTCTCGAACCCGTAGGCTCAGGCAATTCGCTCACTTCAGCCTCCCAAAGGCGCAGGATTACAGGCTGAGCCACTGAGCCCGGCTAGAGTCTTTTTTTTTTCTGAACGGCAAAATAAAAGATTTCCTTCTAGTCTCCACTGTATGCGCTACAAACATTACTGAGGTCATTTTATATGTAAGGTTTCACATCCCACATGCAAATTTTAAACATTAATTAATCTCAGGAGCTATTTTTGTCCAAAAGAGGTAGACATCTTTTATGCCTGGTAATGGGACTTTTACTATTTATTTTAAAATCTTTATGGCTGGGCATGGTGGCTCACGTTTGTAATCCCAGTACTTTGGGAGGTGGAGGTGAGAGGATCGCCTGAGTTCAGGGGTTCAAGACCAGCCTGGGCAACTTGGTGAGACTGCATCTCTACAATAAATTTAAAAAATTAGCTGGGCATGGTAGCGCACGCCTGTAGTTCTGGCTCCTTGGAAGACTGAGATGGAAGGATGGCCTGAGCCCAGCAGGTGGACACTGGGGTGGCCCTGAGCATGCCACTGCACTCCAGTCTGGGCGACGGAGTGAGACTCCAACTCAAAAAAAGAAAAGAAAAGAAACAAAAAGAAGGAAACACATCAGCACGCAGATGAGGGCATACTCTGGGTGGTGGGGCTTCCAGCATTTTTCTGCGTCTCTCATGTCATGTGTGTCGAACCATATCATGTGTGTCTTTTCCAGGCCCGCCTTGTGGCCCCGTCACCCTTGGCCTACTGGTGGCCGGCGTCCTGATTCTGCTGGTGTCCCTGGGTGTGGCAACCCGCCTGTACTGTGAGTTGTCCCCTCTCGGACTGTCCTGGTGCCCCGTTTACTGTTAGAAGTGTCTCTGGGGCGCGTCTCTCAGGGAGCAGAGCAAACGCCATCCTGGTGGGAATTGGCCCCTGAGAACCTAGGGTGGTTCCAGGAGAGCGGGCTGGGGGGACCCCACTGCGGAAACCAGAGACCACCCGCCTCTGGAGTCAGACAAACCCTGGCATGAATCCAGTGCTGCTGCTCCCTGGCCTCACGCCCTGGTCTCCCTGAGTCTCTGCTCCCTCATCTGAGGGAGTGAAACATGACCCACCTCCCAGGGCTGCTGTTTTAAAGCCCTGCCCAAGTGCCAGGCAGTAAGTAGGCACTCGTGTGTGCAGTCAGGCCCACAGCCCAGAGCCCAGAAGAGCTTGCCAGTGGGGTTTAAGTCGCGTGTCTCTGAGCTAGAAACCCTAACTCTCTCATGTCGGTGGGCTGTAGGGAACCCAGGGACAGCTGATGCTCCAGCCACTCCAGAGGTGGCATCGCCTCCTACTCTAGCTCCCCCAGACCCCGCCTGGCACCAGGCTCATGACAGAAACTGGGAGGCGGGGGAGGCCCACTCAGCTGCCCGAGAGCCCAGAGAAGCACTGACTCCCCCATCCTGCCCCCCGACCTCCCGGCTCTTCTGCTGTCCAGTGCCACCTTGAGCAAGCCTCTTCCCCCGTCATGCTTCCATGAAGTCGGGGACAAGGCTGTGGTGACCGGGAGCGTGCCACTGTACTCCAGCCTGGGCAACTGGCATGCACTAGGCCAGTGGCTCTTAACTTTTGTAGGTCACAGACCCTGTTGAACATGTGATGATGGTCATGAGCCTTTTCTCCAGAGAAATACACCCGGCGTACACTTCTGCACTCAATTGCCCCCACCAAGAGGTCTGTGCACCTCCTTCTTAGACCCTCATTAAAGCTCAGTGGTCTGCCAACCCTTTGGGCCAAGACCTCATCAGTGACACATTTAAGAATTATGAACACTGGCCTGTATCCCAGAGACTCAGGAGGCTGGGGAAAAAGGATCACTTGAAGCCAGGAGCTCAAGGCCTGGGCAGCATAGCGAGACCCTGTCTCAAAAATAAACGCATACGTGAATGAGATTAATTCATTGCATAAATGAATAAAAATGAAGACTTATGAAGGGTGAGATAAAAATGTGAATAGACATGCTTTTGCTTACGTTCTACACCCCCTAAATACGTATGCTTTAGCCTGTGTTTCTTTCTCTTTCTTTTTTGAGTTGGAGTCTCACTCTGTCACCCAGGCTGGAGGGCAGTGACACACTCCCGGCCACCACAGCCTCGACCTGCTGGGCTCTGGCGATCCTTCCGCCTCAGCCTTCCAAGTAGCCAGACTACAAGCATGCACTACCACACCTGGCTAATTTTTTATTTATTGTAGACATGAGGTCTTGCCAAGTTGCCCGGGCGGGTCTCAAACCCACAGGCTCAGGCAATCCGCTCACCTCGGCCTCCCAAAATGCTGGGATGACAGGCTGAGCCACTGAGCCCAGCCTAGCCTGTATTTCTGATCCACTATGAGGGGCAGGAGGACACAGTGTCTGGAGCAGATTAACTGAGTGCCAGTTCTGGTTTGACCACTCGGTCACTAGCGGCATGGCTCTGGGCAAGTTACTCAGGAACTTGCTTGCTCGGCAGAAGCTGGTACCAGGGAGGGGGCTGGGGGGTTGGCTGCTCCTAGTCAAGTCCCTCGATCTCTGGGACTCTTGGTGTGGCAGTCTGCAACGCACACTGATGGGCACCCTTGTTTTCTTCTTCCAGGCCAGCGGCGAAGAGCCCGGCTGCGCTTCATAAAACAGTAAGTGTGTGGGGCCTGGGACGGGGGTGGCGTCCCAGCTGTCCTGGTGTGGCCCGAGCTCCTCAGCCCCTGCTGTGGCTCTGTGGCTCGCAGCCTCCAGCTGCCGCAAGGAGCCAAAGTCAAACTTTAAAAAATCGTGGACTGGCTGGGCTCGGTGGCTCAGCCTGTCATCCCAGCACTTTGGGAGGCCGAAGCGAGTGGATGGCCTGAGTCCGCAGGCTCGAGACCCGCCCGGACAACTTGGCGAGACCTCATCTCTACCATAAATCAAAAATTAGACAGGGGTGGTAGCACATGCCTGTAGATCTGGCTGCTTGGAAGGCTGAGGCAGAAGGATGGCCAGAGCCCGGCAGGTCGAGGCTGCGGTGGCCGGGAGCAGACACTGCACTCCAGCCTGGGCGGCGGAGTGAGACTCCAACTCAAAAAAAATTAGTAAATAAAAATGAAAATAAAGAACGTGGACTTAGCCAAGTGCAGTGATGCACACCTGCGGTCCCCACTACCCAGGGGCCTGAGGTAGGGAGATCGCCTGAACCCAAGAATCTGAGTCTAGCCTGAGCAACATAGCAAGACCCTAACTCAAAAAAACAAAAACAAAAACCATGAACAGATGGGATAATGGAGTTCAGGAGCCTTAGAGGTAACCTAAACAAACAAAAACAGAGTCATCACTTACATGTATTTGCAGGACGTGCTTAGGATAAAGTGGGGTTTGCATGCATAGAATACCATGAGGTTTTTCACACTCGCCCCACCCCTTGTGTCACTCAACTTGGTCCTGCGTGAGGTAGGGGGTTATCATCCCTCGGTTCAGGTCATTGGAATCAGATTTTTTACATTTTATTTTTATATTTCCAAAGCTAGGGTCTTGCTATGTTGTCCAAGCCGGTCTTGAATTCCTGGGCTCAAGCCATCCTCCCGCCTCAGCCTCCGAAGACGCTGGGGTTACAGGCATGAGCTGCCATGCCTTGGAATCAGATCTTAAGACAAGCCGATTCACCCCAAGACCGGTGGTTGCCTCTGTCCCCATCCACCACTCTTGACTTTTCCTTTGTCCCAGGAATCGGCAGAGTCACAGTCTGAGTTGCATGACACAGGAACCAGAAGGCACTCCTCAGGCCCACTTAGCCAGTAAGCACAGGCCGGAGCGAGAGGCTATCGGAGGCCAGAGGCCGTGGCTGCCCCCTGCCTCCATGGCTGGGACCCACCCTGAGCCATGGACGGTGCTCTCAAATCTGGTTTTTCTTCCTCAACACAGAGACTGTTTCACGGCTGCCTGGCTCATTAATTACATTCAATCCTCAGAACAATCCCCTCTATGTAGAAATGGTTTTTTTGGGGGAGGTGTCTACACCTCTCAACTAAGAGGGCAACAGGTTGTTGTCCCAGGAGTTCCAGCTCCAGCGTGAGGCCAGACTGGATTTGAACCTGCCCGTGACAAACTGCGTGACTGTAGGTGTGACTTCACCTCTCCGATCTCTCATCTGTCAAACGGAGCAGCCGTACTAACCTCACAGCCGGTGTGAGAACTTACTGGGATAATGCCCTTAAAGTGTCTGGCCCTCCTACCATGGAGTCAAAGCACAAGCTCACACAATGTCAGAATTCAACTCAAAGCATCCAACAACCAAGAGACAAAATGCATTTTTAAATACTCTAAACTATAATTTCCATATGCATTCTCGTTAGTATATACTCTGCATTATTACACATTATATGTATATGCAGAGTTTGCTGAAACACGCCTGCTGTATTTTCTGGGCGCTTTCTTTTTTTTTTTTTTTTTTT